TGACTTAACATTCATTATGCCTAGTATATCCACATGAGTAGATGTTGTTTGTAATACTTTCTGTGGATGTAACTTTTGGCGAGAGGTATTCATGATCGAGGAGCAATATTATGAATTTAGATGATGTATATATAATTAACAGTGTATTAAGAGAAATACACGTTATATAACAGTTAACTTTTTAAAATGATCCTTTTTATCACTCATGTTTTATCCTAACTCTGAAACTTTATAGTTGTGTCCTAATGTTAAATAAGTGTAGTCAAATACAAGTGTAATATAAAGTTCGGGTGCACTTTTTCCAAATCTTAAAAATATTCATATTTAAATTTAAATTTTAAGGAGCCAAGTTTACAATTGTACAATAGGTCAATGGCAACCAACGGCTCCCAACTCCCAAGTCTAAGTCCTACCCCTACCTCCTCATGGACGTCCCCACCCCATTTTCTTTTTTACTTTTATTTTTTTCTATTTAACTTTCCAACTATTTAGAGTTTGTCACAATAAGCACTTAATGAGAATAAATTACCTTATTTTTTGTATTAATTGAAATAACCATAAAGTTTCGGATTAGTCATTTTGGATTTCAAAAATATAAAATCTTGAATTTGCTTTCATTTGTATCAAAGATTTTCAAAAAAAAATTCTCTCAGATATTTTTATATTTTTATATTTTTATACTGTTATATTTAACTCAACTTCAATATTAATAAGTTTTTAATGATTTGTTATATTTCAGTAAAAAATAAATAATCTTTTAAAAGAAATTGGATAATTTCTTTGGATTTCGAATATTTCTTAAAAAAACTCACATCTTTTTTTAGATTTATTTAACCCCTAGCTGGAGTGTAAGTCAATATAAGGCAAGAGTGGGTGTTGGCCCACCCATACAAAATTAAAGTTACATATATAATATATATTATGTACAATATATATTTTTGTTAAATAAAAAGAATTAGGGTTGGGATATGGCCTATTCCATTTAAAACTTGAAATTTATAGAAGATTATATATTGTTGTCTATGTCGATTAGACTCTATTTTAGATTATTTTAATAATGTAAGACAACATCGTGTGCAGCTTAAAATAAACAATTTAGCTAAGAATGCATATATAGTTATATTTTGTTATCGTTTGAAGAATTTTGTCACTCGTTCATATTTTATATATTATTTGGCCTACGCTAAAACAAAATCTCGGCTACGCCATTGCGTAGCTGCCTTTAAATATCACATAAAATTAGTTCAAAACAATATTAATTTAATCTAAAATGTAATTTTTCAGATATTATGATTTTTTCGGTAAATCATAAAAAATTATATCATCTATATTAATACTAAAAAAGATTTGCATTATCCCATTATTTTATGTATTAACCACTAAATAATTTGCGGCATGTTCATTTGACTTCATTAACAATACTAAAAAAATTATATCCTTTACACTTTGATGCTCAAGAATCATATGATCGTTTCATGATTATCCCATTATTTAATGTATTAACTACTAAACAATTTGCAACATAGTTAGCATGTTCATTTGACTTCGTAAATTTGAATATCGGGACAAATTTACAATGTTTAAGAACTTCATTACGACAAACTAAAATGAGGCATTCAAAATTTTAATTACTATTTAAAGTATCTTACCTTTTAATTAACAAATAAATTTTCATTTATTAATTCGTTAATCTCTTTAAATTGAACTGTTAGAGGATAAGAGGAATAACGTAAGAAGTTGGTAATGGATGCCACAAACTCACCAAGGGCCCAAAGACTCACATGTGACAGTGTGACAGCCAATTCCGAAATTTGGAGGGTCCATATTGATATAAGACAAAAGTTGAAGGATGTGGTGGCAACATCATTAATAAAACAAAGCCAACGACACCAGTTTTAGCTGTTAAAACTTAAAATTCTAAACAACGGAAAAATACAAAGAAAAAAGATAAGTCGGGCCATTACCATGCAATTAGCCGTTGTACATAAAGTGTGGTGTATGATAGGCTGTCATAGAAAGCCCACAGGGGATTATGGCCCCACCCCAAAGAAACATTGATTACTATCTCACATGGTCTTTGCTGTACCCGTGGGCCCACTTTTCCACTACTCACCCAAACTTTGTTATTTGAACGTTTGCAAAAAGATTCATATAGTTTCATGAAGTTTAAGTTTACCCCTTTAATAATGATAAAATTTATAAATAAAACACAAAGCATGTAGAACTTAAACAAGTTAGGTTTTGAGTCATGAGGTAGCAAGTTTTTTGTGGGTTTAACGTATTTATAATGAGTTAAAATAAATTAAGTTTTAGGCTATGCTTTATATTTTTCATTTATCTTTCATCAATTTTGTAATATTTTAAGCTATGTCACTCGTATCTTCCATTTTTCATTCAATATTTCGTATTTCAAACCATATTATACCTATAATTATTATCTCATGAGCAATGTAAAAATATATTAATGCATCGTGTACAAGACTCTAATGTATCATATGCAAATGCAAAGAGAAAACATAAAATGGGGAAAAAAGAGTCCAAGGATTAGTCCTAGGTGGTTGAGTGTGTGGGTTTCGCCTTATCCGTCTTAGTGTTTCCATCGGTGCCTGGTGTCCACATCAGATGTCTACACACCTTCGAGGGAGGTATAACACATAGTTTTATGTACATCAAATTGATAAGGTCAAGTTAAAAGTTTACATATCACTCGTCACTATTACTATGTTTAGCACACCGAAACTAGCTTATAAGTTAGTTTATTTTTTAGGTTGTTATATTTGACAAATTAAAAATTAATTATAAGTTAGATTTAAAAAAAAAACTACTCATACTAACGTTTCAACGAGCTTAATGAACTTTTTAAAATTCTCCATAATATTCCATTTATTAATTATTAAAAAAACACAATCTTCTGCATATATATATATATATATAATATATATATATATATATAGATATATGATATATATATATTGGGTAGCTTATCAGCTAGTTTAGCAAACATTATTTTTTATCCGCTAGTAATTAATTTTTCAGTTAGTCTGTCAAACATAATTTATATCTTTTATTTGTTACATTTGAATTTCTATCATATATATCTAAATAATTTACCAATTATAAATAAAGAAGTATCTTTTTTTTAATAAAATAGTTTTAGGTATTATAAAAATTTAAAACATTGCTTATTTGAAATGGTTCTCGATTTACTACGATTTAACACTGATAATAAGATATTTTATGCATTTGGTTAGAAAAATATTACAATTTATTACTACTTATTGAGTTAAATATAGTTTTTAATAACTATACGTCTATACCTTATTTATTGATGTAAATAATAATTTTAAGATTAGCTATTTTGTATAAATATAATTTAGAGGTAATTAGAAACTAGACAAAATACTTAATTACTTAGTTTTTAACCAAAATTTAACATTTATCCCAAACTAGCCTTTCAAATCGTAGTTCATTAAGTTAGTCTATGGTCAGCGTTCGATTGACTACTCTTTGGGGCAATGAGCTACTATTTGGTGGGTCGTCTATTCTTTCAGGGTTCGTTGACCCACAATATATAAAGTTGTAATTTTTTAGATTTGCACATTTTGTGTGTGTTTGAAGTTTGAAATTCTCTATCAATGGATCTTTCAAAGAACAATCAGACGTGTCTCCGAATCTTGAACTTTTTTTTTGTTTTTCTTATTTAGTAGGAGATCTAAAAGTTGCATTTTTTTTGAAAAAAATGAAAAATAAAATAAAATAAAACCGTAGGTTCGTAAGAAACCTACGGTGTAATATAAATATACCGTAGGTTTCTTATGTACCTATGTTTTTTTTTTTTTTTTTTTTTTTTGTAGCTTGTGTACAATGTACTATAAATGCAATGTTATTTTTTTTCTATAAATAGTAGTAAAATACCAAAAAGAACTTAAAACTGTAGCTTTTTGGATGAAACAGTAGATTATTTTAAGGTCTACGGTTTGAAAAACATTAGATCATTCAAAGGAAACCGTAGACCATAAAATGATCTATGGTTTCGTATTGAATTATGAAAAAAAGTTCTGCGGTTAGAATATTGTTTTCATACGGCGGGAGTTATTAGTTCAAATCCAATAGTAGGCAGAACTTATTAGATGTCGTGGTCCATGGTATCTAAAAAGTTTTTATATCCATTTTCTTTTAATGATATTGATTTTTTTTTTATCTTTTCTAATTTTTCGTTGCATGAAAATTTGATTTTGTTTGATTGTATTTACTCGACATAATCAAGTCAAACAAAACACTCAAATATAGGGTGTATAAGTGTATAAATCGATGATTATCCAGATGCACCTATTGGTTATGAAATCGCATTGACAGCCTTTATCCGTGTCCTAGCCCGTCGAAACCATAGACCATAAAATGGTCTACAGTTTCGTATTGAATTATATATATATATATATAATATATATATTATAAAATATATATATATATATAAATATATAAGTATTAAAACCGAAACCGTAAACCGTATAAACGAAACAGTAGACTATCTCAATAACTTACGGTTTTGATGATTATTTTGGACTAAGTCGTAAATTTGCCTAATAATAAAAAAAGTCATTAGAAAATTTGACTAGATTAGTAAGTGCCTTTATAATTTATTTATCTAATTTATTATATTTTAGAACTTAATAAACTAATCAAAATACTTAAGATTTTGTTTTAAAATCTAAAAAACCAAATAAATACTCTTAAAAAACCAAAAATTTTAAACGAGCAAATCCTAAATTTTAAACAATCATAAAACTACTTTCTTTTGTGGTTGTTCTAAAGGGCTAACATGCCAATAGGACTATTAAAAGGTTCCATTTGCAAATTAATAGATTATTTTGGGCTTCTTCACAAATCACAGAAAGCACCTGGAGTATCCTGCAAATAATCTACAAACTTCACGAACTTTGAAAAATTCCCAAAAAACCCCCCTTTCGACTTATCCAGAACTCAATCATTTCCCTTATAAAGAGACACACCCACCACCTTTCCGAAACACCAAAAACCTCCATAACCAAAACCTAAACTCACTGAGTTACAGAGAGAGAAACAACAGAGGTTGTTTAGAGAGAGGGAGCTAGAAGCATGTCGAAAGAAGTGAATGAAGCCGGAGAAACGGCGAGGAGGGATTATGTTGACCCACCGCCAGCTCCTCTCCTTGACATGGGGGAACTGAAGCTCTGGTCATTTTACAGAGCCTTAATCGCCGAGTTTGTCGCCACCCTCCTCTTCCTGTACGTCACCGTGGCCACCGTCATCGGCTACAAGAAAGAAACCGACCCATGCGGCGGAGTTGGCCTCCTCGGAATCGCTTGGGCATTCGGCGGTATGATCTTCATCCTTGTTTACTGCACCGCCGGTATCTCTGGTAAGCTCCCACCTCCCTTTTCCACAATTCAAACACCATACCGGAAAAACCAAAATATGAAATTACAATAACACCCTTTGTTGGATAGGTGGACACATCAACCCTGCGGTTACATTCGGGCTATTCTTGGCAAGAAAGGTGTCGTTAATAAGGGCAGTAGCGTACATGATTGCACAGAGTTTAGGTGCAATCTGTGGTGTGGGTTTGGTGAAGCTGTTCATGAAATCGTACTACAACTCGTTAGGTGGTGGTGCAAACTCAATTGCACCAGGGTACAACAAGGGTACTGCACTTGGTGCTGAGATTATTGGCACCTTCGTTCTTGTCTACACCGTTTTCTCTGCTACTGACCCTAAAAGGAGTGCGCGTGACTCTCACGTTCCGGTATGTATTACTTCTAAGTTCTACCTTCCGTTTTCCGTCATGTTCCATATCCATAGACTTGTTTGTACATTGTGTTTTAAGATGTCTACTTAGTGTTGGGATTTGGGAAATTGCAGGTTTTGGCGCCACTACCAATTGGGTTTGCGGTGTTCATGGTGCATTTGGCCACCATTCCCATTACTGGAACTGGTATCAACCCTGCTAGAAGCTTGGGTGCTGCTGTGATTTACAACAATGAAAAAGTCTGGGATGACCAAGTAAGTTTTCTCTCTCACATACACACACTTTTCGCCATCTTTTAGAAACAAAAGCTAAGGTAAACGTACAATTATTATTATTGGAGACTGTAGAAAGGCATTATAACAGGCATCTTTAATGATGGTTCTAGTAGAAAGTACAAAGTTTGAATAACCCAATCTAACTGAATGTACAAGTTATGAGGCATGGTGTACAACTCACTACTGCATAAGAAAGAAGTCTTGTATATTGTGTAAAGAACGTGTTTGTACGCTGTGTAATGAAAGTTGTACTTTTTTTTGCAGTGGATCTTTTGGGTGGGACCATTCATTGGAGCATTGGCTGCAGCTGCATACCATCAGTATATATTGAGGGCTGCAGCCATCAAGGCTTTAGGTTCGTTCAGGAGCAATGCTACAAACTAGAAGTGAGGGGAAGGGCACATGTGTAATTGCACCTGAGCGATTTCTTCATTTTTCAACTTTAATTTATGATTGATATGTTGTGTATTAATTAATGGATATGAGGAATGTTTGATTTTTTTTTTCTTATCAAATTTCTTTTTAATATTTTAGATTTGGCTGTGTATTTATTTGGTCTTGATTAGTGAAAGTGGTGGTGTTGTTCTTCGTTTCTGATTCTCACTTATTTCTCTTTCTCCTTATTACATTGTAAAAAAATACTAGTATTTATTGTTTCGCCAAGATTTTCGTCCCAAAAGAATATCCTTAGTTGATACAAAAAGAGAGCCCAGCCCTAATAAGAAACCCAACCCATTTGAATTTTTCGCAGTAGGTTCTTGATTAATTTTAGACAAATATGTAAAAATATCCTATAATATGTATTTTTGCTGAGGTTTAGTCAAAAATTTAATTTTTTTTTTGTCTTTTTAAACTAGTTTCGTTGCGTTTGTCCCTGGGAAAATTGAAAATACTAAATTGTTTTTATTTTGTTTTTTTTAGAACGGCGGCGATAAATTAAAGGAAAAACAAAACTAGCGAGACATTAAAATAATGAATTACAAGAAACATTTTTTTTGATAGAAAATCTAATCTAACTTATGTCTCCAACTAAGGAAAAACAAAACTAGCGAGACATTAAAATAATGAATTACAAAGAAACATTTTTTTGATAGAAAATCTAATCTAACTTATGTCTCCAACTACAATTGAAGTATCAACCTCAAAGAAGGAAGGGGAAACATCAAATACCGTTGGGCTAGAAACCTTTGGTTACAACAAACATTTTTAGCAAATGAAAACAACACCAATTCTCTCGATCAATGTTCTCAAAATTAATTAATGTATTTAATCCAATTAATTTAATGTAGTTAATATAATGCTTCTCTCTCTCTCTCTCTCTCTCTCTCTCTCTCTCTCTCTCTCTCTCTCTCTCTCTCTCTCTCTCTCTCTCTCTCTCTCTCTCTCTCTCTCTCTCAAGTAAGAGGTATTCACCCTTTTTAATCAAAACAAAATCCATAATCATGTCCATCAACAAGAGGCATTTGATTTCTTTCTTGAAAATAATCGTTCTTAGCATCAGAAATATGATTTCTTGTAACGTCTCATTTTCACAACAAAATTTTTTCGTTTTTTAAGGTAAAACTCCATATTATTAAAACCATTTGTTCCAATTTATATTTGTTAAAAATCAGAGTAATATAATAACGCAGAATCTTCGTTGTTGCTGATGAATGTGTATAGTCACGTCTTTGCCTTCCAACAATAACCGATAGATCCTGAAAACATAAATAACTTGGTAAGCACAAAGCTTAGTGAGTTCCCCCAAGATACTCCATATAACAAACATACTAGCATGCATGTCGGGTCCATAATCATCAGAATGGATTACCCCGGGTATGTTGGTTTGCCGCCTCAACCCAACCGCTCTTCTCGAGTCTCCGTGCCTACGACATTCAGTCCGCCCGCACCTGGTATCTTGGCCTACAACACACAGCAGGACCGCCTCAACCTCATCCGCTACCATATGTCGACATATAACAATCAAGGATCAAGTAGGCATATAATACAAACAATTATCAATCATACAGCTCATTACCGCCTACTAGACTCCTCACAGCACACTGCTACGCTACAAGCTAACCTCCGTGGAATGCGTAACCGTAAGTACCTAGAGGTGAGATAGCTACCCGAATAGATAATCCTACTCTAGAGCCACAACCAAACAAGGAACATGCAAGAAAGCCTAGATCAAGAGTTCTCAGGCTATCCTACATGACTACATACAGCCTCTAGGGCACCCCACTAGACGATAACCAGCCTACTGGTACTCTAATCAACATAGCACTACTATTGCATCCTATCATACAAGGATATATATATATATATATATATATATATATATATATATATATATATATATATATAAAACAAATTACTACAACACAGTAACACTCCAAGGAATGCATAACCATATGTGCCCAGAGGTGAGATAGACACCCAAATAGATTATCCTACTCTAGAGTCACAACCAAACAAGGAACATGCAAGAAAGCCTAGTGTAGAATCCAAATTTTTGGTGAGTTCTCTTTTGGTCCATTGAGTGAAAATTCCTTGCATAATAGTCCCTTGGTTAGTACGTAGGGCGTACTCATTGCGTATGCTTAGCGTACTAGCCACAGCTTGGTCGCAGATCATTAACCACGTACGATGGACGTACGTGGTGTACGCATGGCATACTCATGTTTGAAGTAAACCCTAGTTTTTAGGGTTTGCACCCTATTTAAAGACCTTAAGTCCCCCAAGTCCCTTACCTTTTCAGCCTCCATTGCCCTTGAAGTGCAAATCTTGAACCCTAAGCCACCTTTGTACATTAGTGACCTTCTTGAGTGATTTTTGGTGTTCTATAGAGCTTTTGAAGAAGAAGGAAGTTAGAAAAGAAGCAAGGACATGGGAAGAGCTTGTAGATCCAGAAGTTTGGTACCATTTCTGACCCATTGAAGGTATAAAGCTTAAACCTTGACCATTACTTGCTTAGATCTAAGTTTTGGACGTAAGGTCTTAATAGATTAAGTCATGGAGCAAAGTGTAGGTTGGCAGATGAGTACGTCACGCGTACTCAGGTGTACGCTGAGCGTACCGGGTCAACGCCTCGACCTTGGTCAACACTGTAACGACCCCATTTTTCAAAGGAAAATTTTCATTTTTGATTAATCAAAACACATTCCCATAAACCGTGCAATCCAGATACAATTGTTTTCAAAACTCATATCAATTAAAATTTTATTTCAAAACATCAGAGGGTCCCATAAAAGTGTCTGAGAGAGTGCACGCCAACAAGCCTTGCCCTTGCCCTTGGGCTCAGAAGTACCTGAAACAAATCCACAAACTGTAAGCTAATGCTTAGTGAGTCCCCCAGAGCATACCCCACACACAATCCACATAACACATAACATATTAGCTATAAAGCTACACATATCACATAAGACATGAATATAACATATAAGGAAGCCATGGAAACCCTCCAGGGTCTTACACCTAGTGCTACAGGAACCCCCACGTGGTCTTAACTGCCTGCCATGGGAACCCCACATGGTCTTCCTGCCTTGGGAACCCCACAAGGTCTTCACTACCAAACAAGACATAATGCAAACTATATATGCAGATATACTAGGATGCCATGGAAACCCTACAAGGTCTTATACCAAATGCCACAGGAACCCCCACGTGGTCTCAGACTACTGCTACGGGAACCCCCCAGGGTCTTCCATGCAAATGTCATACTAACATAACGCATAATCAATCAAAAATCCACATAACATAGAATGGGCCAGCTTTGGTGCCTTAGACCCATTGGTAAGGTGAGAAGACTCACCTCTCACGAATGCTGTGCTGACAAGATAAGATCCAAATAAGTCCCAACGCACAACTCCAACTCAACTTCCTATAAGTATCATAAGATTAACTTGTCATAATCCCATAATTATCCTCAAAGTCAACCCTGGTCAAAGTCAAGGTCAATAGTCAAGGTCAACAGTCCATGTTGACCCCAACTCGTCGAGTGCATCTAGCAACTCGTCGAGTTCCTACAGAGTCCATAAAACTTGCACAAACCCTAGCCAACTCGCCGAGTTGTTTCATCAACTCGACGAGTTCACTTGATATCCAGAAAACGGGGAAACCCAATCCGACTCGTCGAGTTGCCAGGGTAACCCGTCGAGTTCCCCTCCCTGTTTGCTTATTATGATGATACACCGAATGTAGGGACTCCAAGGCTTAGATCTGAAACCCTAAGGTGTCTAGAAGGATAAAGTTTCCAACTTTGCCCTCTAGAACCACTCTGAATGCTCTAATGCCCTTATCAAAGGTTGGAAAGCTCAAAAGCTTTGCCATGTGGTCCAAGACTTTAGGGATCTGGAATCCCTCCTTTCCATAAGAGTTTCTAGTCCTCAAAACGTTCCAAAGATGGAGGCTTTATGGACATACATGTCAAAATGGCCAAAAAGGGGAAATATACTCTAAAAACCCTTGCATGGCATCCTTGCTTGACCAAAAGCTAGATCTAGCCCACCTTGGGACCATTTTTCCCTAGAGATCCATAAAGTTGCAATCTTTATGAACCCCATGCATGCAATCAACAAGAATGATAGGAAATGAAGAGTAAACTCAAGATCTAGCCATATTCTAAGATAAAAATCGAATCTTGAAGACTTACAACAGTCCACAAGATGGTCACGCTCAAGAGTGAGGGCTTGGTTTGCTGGATCTTCTCCTTATTCTCACTATCTCCTTCTTCTTAAGCTCCACAAGTCACTCTAGCTCACAAAATGAAAGAGAATGGGGATTAGGGTTTAGCACAGTCGTTCTTAGGGTTTGGAGGCTGATGGAAGGTCAGCCTCAAGGTTCTAAAGGAGATTATATAGGGTGCAAACCCTAAAAATTAGGGTTTCTCTTTACAGCTCCTAGTCGTCGAGTCGGCCTTCCAACTCATCGAGTAGGGTTTAGATCCCGCGTCCTCGAAATGTTCCCTACTCGAAGATTCGGAACTCCCAACTTGTCGAGTCCCAGCACCAAAACCCTAAAACTTATAAAATTAAATAATACTTGTAGTAGTGTTACAAACACCATCGTACGTTGGGCGTACAAGCCAAGTACGTCGCGCGTACGCGATCTGTGGGCTTGGTGGATTTTGGGCTCTTGGAGTTAAGGAACTTCATACCATATGAGTTGTCCTTTTCAGCTCTTGGAGGTGTGTTGAGTCATAAAAATTGGATCTTGATGGTTAAGCCTCAACCATCCAAGTGTTAGGGACCAACCAAATGTGTTTATGGACTTGATTCATGTTTTGAGCCCATCCTTGCATGCAAAAGCATAAAGTTTGCAACTTTATGGATTAGGACGTTTCTAGGGGTCTAGATCTAAGTTTTAGACGTAAGGTCTTAATGGATTAAGTCATGGAGCAAAGTTTAGGTTGGCAGACCAGTACGCCGTGCGTACTCAGGTGTACGCTGAGCGTACTGGGTCAGCGCCTCGACCTTGGTCAACACCAGCGTACGGTGGGCGTACAAGCCAAGTACGTCGCGCTTACACGATCTGTGGGCTGGGTGGATTTTGGGCTCTTTTGATGTTGGGCTTTAGACTTTAGAAAATTGGGCCTCGGGCCTGCCTGAGTGTAGTAAGTCCTTTTTG